CTCTCAATATTCTATTTAGCTAACCCCACTTGTTCTCTCGCAATCTCGAATTAGTTTCAAGGGGTTAACATGCAAGTAAGCCAGTCTCTCGTAGAAGCGGTTTCAACACGAAGCTCTTAGGAACACAGGTAGGAGGACATTCGCTTCGGCGTTCATCTCCGAGAAATCTGTCTGATGTTTGTTCGACCGTCAGTACCCGCTAAAATATGTTCATCTTTACACCTCGTGTCCACCTCCCATCTTCTCCGCGGTCTAGACTGGAGCCGGCAAGTCCGGGGAAATGTGATCGGTGCAAGTATTGTTCTCTCTTTCTGGCATGCGAGGGAAAACCTTTTCGGCACGTTGATGGAGCTATGCAACACAAAGCTGGGGCCGTCTTCCAATAGGACGGCGTCTACTGGATTCCTACTTGGCATCGATATAATCGAAGCACCTGCGCGCAACCCTCTCGCACACCGATCTCCAACCAGCCATTGATATCCATCCATTTACATCCACGCCGGCGCGAATGCTGCTGAGAGAATGTTCTCAAAATTCCAAACCTGCAAATTTAAGAATTCGGAAATTCAGTGCGTTCGGGCCTCGGAGGTAGACCCTCAGATGCTATACGCGATGCGGCGAGATATTTTGACGCCTACTGCCTGCGGGGCCCCGGTACGCAGTGATTCAAGTACCGAGTTCAATTATACAGCTCGGCCAGGCTCGGGTCCTTATACCGAGGTATGTTGGCGCGTACTGCCTCTATCGGGGTCCCGGTGCGCAGTGATTCAAACACGGAGTTCAAGTAGGATTGCACAGCCCGGCTAGGATGGGCCGCGAATTGAACCGGTCAAGGCGACGAGGGAAATGGTGCCCAGAGCCGACTCATTCCGTACATATGGACAGATGCGCTTTAGATGTGATGCGCGGGAGATACGCAGGGATGTTATATTCAGCGGCGGAGGGCTGAAGATAGATCTCGACGCTCTGCAGGCGGGACAGCACCTTGAGCGCGTCCAGGTCGCGGAAGGCGCGCTCGTGTGGTGTTGGGTCTCCCGGAAAGGTGATGGCGAGATGGCGGACGTCGTTCTTCGGTGGGAGGCGCGCGAGCAGCGCAGCGAGTGCTCGCAGGCCGTCGCTGTCTTCCAGGCGGACATTCAGACCCTTCAATGCGGGTACCACGCGCAGATCTATATCAGAGTCTCGCGAAACTGCGGAGGAAAGTAAATAGGATATTCGACATGTCGCGTGGTTATACGTACACGGTGTAAGCCACAGGAACTCCAACTGTGGGAGTGACGGGGAAAATATTGCCAGCAGCGCTGCCCAGTCGGACGCTCGGACTTCGAGGCTTCTGAGATGGGCGAAATCAAAGGGGCATCGCGGCCCGCGCATCCACCCCTCGAGCTCGCGCGGAACCGACAAATGAGCCAGGGGGATCTTCGGGCCCGGAGCGCACGGAGCGTCATCGAAGAGCGCGCACGCACCCGGATACGTGTCGAGGTTGTCCAGCGCGAGGCGCAGCTGCTCGATATCACGTGAGCACCCCGTGAAATACTCGTCGAGGAGCGGGATGGGCTCAAGGTACCCCCAGAGCAGGACGCGGCGTAGGGACGGGAGGCGCAGCAGTGCCTGGAGCGGGGTGACCGTCGCGCGCGGCGTAGGCGCGGCCCACGGGTAGCTCGTGCACTCCAGGCGCAGCTCCGCGACGTGCGTGAACGGCACGCAGGCGAGGGAGGCGAGCACTGCGCTGTCTAGCGGGACGGAGACGCGGCGGATGAGGCGCACGAGGTGCGGTGCGCTCTCAAGCGTGTGGCTGAGGCGGTGGAACTTTATTTCGACCGCATCGCAGCCCGACGCATCATCGGGAGTGAGGTCGAGGTGGCGGTACAGGTGGCGCTGCGCACGCCAGACCCAGGACTTCGCGACGAGGGCGCAGGATATCAGGTCGTAGGGCGATTCGGAGAGGTCGTCAATTGTGTAGTCTAGCAGCTCTTGAATCCCCAGCACGTATGAAGCCATGGTACGTGCACGAGCTATGAACGCAAGTCAGCGGTCGACGCACGTCGGAAGGCAGTGAAACTCACCTGTGGGGGCAAGAAGTTTCATGGGTGGTCTCATTCAAGCGAACGAAGGCGGGCGCAGTCCTTTAAAGCACAGATTCGGCACATGGGCCCTATTCAATTACTCCCGACTCCCGCGACGTCCGACTAAACGGGAGTCGATCTGACGCGTCGGTAACCAGCCGCACTGTCTGCACAGCCGGCGCGCCTCAACCCCGTCCCGAGGGAGCCGCCGGTACAGTCATCCCGCCAACGAGACCCAAGTATAAGTGTCCTATGGCTCTGTAACGCGCATCTTGGCATTTCCAGAAGCTGGGGAGGGGTTGTTGCATTGAATGATAAGGCCTAGGGACAGACGTCCTGACTCGAACTATCAGAAAGACTGTTGAAGTGCCAGGACTTTGGCTGGGACAGCAGTGCCCCCCCGTCGTTGTACAGTACAGCCACGTCGGCCGCAGCGGGATATCGGCTGCCTCCACACGGTGGTCCGTACGTATGTAGTTCGCCTTCAGAACAGAGATCGTTCAAAGCTAGGAAGAGCGTAAATAGAGCGGGAGCTGGTCACAGTGAGTCTTGCTTCTCCTGACTCGCAGTGAGTAGCAGGTCATGGTTGCGGTCAAGCTGACGGGTTATCCCCAAGTAGCACTTGCATCAATACCGTCGGATCAATCGACTTTCTGTTTAGAAGGAACCTTCACTGCTTTAACACTGCCTGTTAAAGTTTAACGTCCTTGCTTTCTGATTTTATTCTGATACTTATACTAATGAATAAAATCTGACACATTATCCCTGGCTTGCCAGGGAACCCTGAACGTTTGCGTTTCCGCCTTACCAGTTTTCTGATTTTCTTCTGATATTATCTGATACCAAGAACGCTGGGCTCAGAGAAATCTCACTTATCCCTTTACTTGCCACTGACGTTGGAAACATTCGGGTTTCAGCACTTACCTATTTTCGTCGGATGACTGTCATACTAGCAGCGAAAGATAGACCATTCATTCCGTTGTCACGTTTCTTCTGGAATCTAGTGCATCAGGCTCCCAAGCTTACACACGGCTGGAAGTTATTAGATCACCATGACTGCCACAGAAATCAATTTTCGCATCGCCAGCTTCCTTGTGCTCGCGCCCTCGCTCGCAACCACAAGCAGGTTCGGTTCCCCCAGCGCATTCTGTGAGTACCGCGCGTTGAACTTGAGCACCGTCTTGAGCCGGTTGCAAGTCGCGACATCGAGGGGCAGCCGCTTCGACAGGACGAGCCACGTAACGCCCTCCGAGCACGAGGGGTCGTCAGCGAGCCTGCGGACCGGAAGAGTGGGCACTTCGCGACCGCTGCGGCGATGGTGCGGAAGTCGAGTGCACCGGTTGTCGTGCGCGTTCTCGGCACCCGGGCGGCCGCGAGGTTCTTTGCGAAGGCCGTGAGGAGCGCGGTTGTCAGCCCGTCTTCGCTCAGCTGGAAGAGCAGCGCGAGGACCGTGAGAGGCGAGAGTCTGTGGGGCAGGCAGCGACGCGAAGAGATTGAGAAGATGTGGATGCGGCTGTCCATGATAGATCTAGAGCGTATTTTCGAACTGAAGATAGCTAGCTGATTGGAGGGAGCTTGACGAAAGTGGGAAGGGAACGCGGGTTAACGATCTCTGAGTTTTTACCTTGTCCCCGTAGCCACGTTCATGGCAGACGGAACATCGAAACGTTTACTTGACCTCCAGGATGGTCCGTACGTATGAAGCTCGCCGTAAACAGAGGCCGTCTGACCGCTAGGAGGAGCGACGAGTGCGATGTCCCGCCGTTGTGGTGGTTGCGGCAAGGGGTGGCGAAAACCTTAATTCTGGACCTTGACTACCCACTGGTGGTAGTCAGTCAAGTATCCGGGGTCCTGGGAAATCGGTTTTTGACGCCTTTTTGACGAGGTTTTGGATATCTCCTCAGTTTGAACTTGTATGACTGGTTTTGAAGAGTGCATCTGGTATAGTTTTTCCCGCTGACTCCGAATATCACAAAAAAATGGTACCATGAAGTGGTTTTTGGTGAGTTTGAAGCAGGTCAAGATACGACCGGTATTTGCCGAGGCACGTGGATCAGCGTGGATCTCACGTCAGCAGATATCAGCAGGACTCAGAAAATTGAACTTACGACTACCACGAGAAATCTGTCGTGATTTAGCTGTCCAGGATCGATTGCCTAGGTGGTTTCTCCTCGCTTTGTTTTTTTACCAATTTTATTCCTGGCTGCTCGTTGCAAAAATGCCACTAAGTTCATGTTGGGTTGGGGGTTCAGAGCTTGCCGGTTCAATAAAAAATGGGGACAAAGTGGACATATATACAGACATATTTCCCCACTCCATCTACATGAAAAACCTATGTAGACTCTACGAATGGTGTTGAATTTGGGCCGTAGCACCTTCGGCATCAACTGTTTGCCGCTTTGGGCTCGCAGATCGTCGGACCGCGTGATTGCCGACTGGTGGTGGTCGTTCTGGTATTCGGGGTCCTGGCCAAGAGGTTTTCGGTAGTCGCGGTCCAAAGGTTTTGGCCCCGCCACCCCTTGGGTTGCGGTGAAGCCAGGTTATCCCCAAGTAGAAGTTGCATCAATTCTGTCGGATCAATGGTCGTTCTGTTGAGAAGCACTGCCTCAAGGTCAACACTGCCTGCTGAACTTGGACCAATCCTTACTTTCTGATTTTCTTCCTATTATTACTACTTGTACTGGGAAAATGTAACAGATTACCCCCTGGCTTGCCAATACGTTTCTGCTCTGTCGACTTTCTGATTTTCCTCTGATAGCCCAGAGCGCTAGACTCCTAGTCGGAGAGGTCTGACAGATTATTCATTTGTTTAGTTGAGTTACCGTTGACCTTAGAGACGCCCCGGTTTCTGCCTTTACCAAGGTTCTTGCGTGAATCCAACGGGAAGTTAGAAAAAAAGGGGGAAAATTTTCCAACAATTATATGGCCCAGACTTGACCGAGACCCGAATCGAACAGGTGCCTTCTGGCGGAACCTTTCCTCATAAAAGTTGAGCGGACGTGATACCACTTCGCTGCTCGGTCCGTACACCTGGAGATGCTTGGTGTCTTCATTAGGCACGCTTGATGTGCTATTCGAGCACAACGCGCGGGAGTTCGGCGTCACCCGGGCTTTGCTAGTATCTAAACCTTCCCATAACCAAGCCTTTCTTAGATTGAAAATACTTCAGTTGTGCTCGGCATGGGGCGAGCTCGACTTCATGAACCGTTGAACTAGGTCGATGATTATTACAGTAACATTGCTGGTGCCGCAGTGAAGAAGGGAATTAGAATTACCATGCTTGCCACCGATGGTCAATTCAATGGGAAACCTTCAATTATACTTACGAGAATTTAAGCAAGGCTGTCACCAGAATTAATCAGAGTCTCAATGCCTTGTCGTAAGCTTAGCGAAACAACAAAAATTCGACCTCGACACTTGGTCACGGCTCGAGCCCGAATCGAACGAACTCTATACTGCATGAACATTCCGCTAAATCCATAGAACGCAGAGGTGGGCCACACACCACCGAGCCTTCCTTTCTTGCTATCTATGCTCACTAACATGGCCATTTTGCGAGCCTCTGGCAGCCCAGTAATAATAAAAAAAGTCTCGACCTTGGCACAGCTCGGGCTCGAATCGAACGAGCTCCTTCTGCATAACCTGTCCTCCATTACCATCATGGAAAGAAGCCGTGGACCTTCCACCACCGAGCCGTTCCAAGCATTCAAAAGTTGGATTATACTTCCCAGAATTTCTCTCCAACAAGAAGAGATGTTTCCGAGGCTGGATTGGAACAACCTCCTCCACTTTGCTAAATTTCGATGTGACATGAAGGAACGCGAGCACGGCGTCGTCATCCGACGGCGAGGTGCGCCCGTCCCTTCCCATAAAGGCCGGCAAGGCACGAGGGGACGATGCGCAGCCAGTCCGGTGCGGGACAGCGCGGGACAGCGCCGCACGGCACGACGCCTTTCGTCTTTGGTATTCCTTCCGCTTGCGCGCGCTCCCTCCTCTCCCCTTCTTACTCGCTCCCTTCCCTTCCCTTCCCTTCCCTTCTTTCCACTTCGTGTTCGGCATTCGTATTCGGCGGATCCCGCTCCACCTCGCGTTCGTTGGAACTTTGACTCTGGCGCAGCTTCTCCGTTCTCGTCCAGTTCTATTATGCGCGTGTTGTGTTCGTTGAGCGGAGTCGGAGTGCAGCGCCCCTCGCTTCGTAGCCTTCCGTGCCCTGCCCTCCGCGCTCTGCCCTGCCCTCCCTTATGCCATCCGTGCCCGGCTCCCACTTCCCTTCCTTCCATTTCGTCTTCGTCTTCGTATTCGTTGGAGCGCAGACCCCGCTGTCCGATCTCTTCCCGCCGCGCACGCGGCGTTCTGTTGGCCGGCGTCGAGCGGAGTGGAGTGGAGTGGGGCATGGACTGGAGCGCGCGCGCTTCGCGTCCCCGCGTCCCTCCCTCCCATCCATCTCTTCTGAGACGAGCCCCGTTTGTGCTTGTACCCTACCTGTGGTTGTGGGGCCTGCGGTGAAGCGAGGTTAGCCCAAGTACCGTAGACCTTGCATCGATCCAATGGAAATTCAGTTTCGAAATGAGAATCCAATGCTGTGCTTTGAACCGCTGAGTCCTTTGCGTTCTGAATAAGTAACCCTTCGACTGTGCCTTTTTCTTCTGACTTGGGTGATACTAAATTTGAGACAAAAACGGGGGAAAAAAATGTCGTCCCACCGTATGACCCAGACCCGAATCGAACGGATGTCTTCCGCAGAACTAGACAAATACAATCTGAAGCTATGCGGATGCGAAACCACTTCGCCACCGGGTCCGTAGTCTACAGAGGAAAGCCACCTTGAAGAGAGAGCTGTGAACAATTGTGTCCAAAAAAATTAAACGAACTAATCAGGGAAAAAAGACAAGGAATGTGTAATGTGTAATGGCCCAGACCCGAATCGAACGGGCACCTTCCGCAGAAACCTTTGCTCTCTATCATCAAGTTAAGGTGGACGCGAACCACTTCGCCACTGGACCCATATACCCAAATAGCCCAGCTCGAATAGTATCCATAGCGGGGCATCCGAAAGGTCAACATCACGGTCAGTCTGCACAAGGTTGTGATTGCCTCGGCTGGTCCTCCAAAAAATGCATTACTGTGAATTGAGTGTGAAAGAACAATGTTAACGTGAAGGCCGAAGATCCCAGAGACAAACCAAAGAAAAGAGAGCCCGACGAAAGGTTAAGAAAAAAGTGAGGGAGAAGAAAAAACAACACACAAATGTTATGACCCAGACCCGAATCGAACGGGGTCTTCCACGAAAACGGTAAAATTTCTTCATTCAAGATAAGCGGATGCGAAACCACTTCGCCACCGGGTCCATGCCCTATGCAAGCTTGAATACACCCACCACGGCGTCGGGAAAGCGAGAAAAATCTAGCACAATCTTAGGACCCAGACCCGAATCGAACGGGTGACTTCCGCAGACGCATGCATACACACAGCATAAGGTGCGCGGACACGATATCACTTCGCCACTGGGTCTATACTCCCAGTGACTCGAGCTCGATTAGAGACCGGTGAGTCCAACGTGCACAAGCAAAAATCAAACGAACTAAGCGGGAAAAAAATGCATAGAACTATCAGGACCGACCCAGACCCGAATCGAACGGGTGTCTTCCGCGGAAACCTGAATAGACAACGAAAGCTGCGCGGATGCGAGACCAGTTCACCACCGCTGTGCAGCCCAGCTCGAATACAAACTGTCCGCTGAAGCCATCCTGGACCCAGAATCGATGGATCGGATTTTTCTTTTGCTTCTTCTTCTACATAATTCGAGACTTGAGACTACCACATGAGGACTCGGAACTAATAGCTACCACGAAGGGACAGGTGGCATTTAGTGTTGAGAGAGAGGAGTGTTTGGAAGAAAATGAAAATTGTCAGACTCCGACTCGCCCCATTAAATTTACCAGGGAGCAGCACCGGCGAGGCTTGAAACTTGATGAATGTGGACGCGAATGAAAGAGTTGATAAAGGGGGGATTGTAGGTATCTACGAGCTTCACCAGTTGAGCCGCGTTGAGATGGCGTCAAGGATGCCGGAACGCAAAGCTGTGCCGTCCTCTCTCCTTGTAATAGAATGCAGATGCGGACCTATCTACTCTCACCAACATTATCATTCTTCCCGAAGGCCAGTGAGGAATAAAAACCTTTTCCAGGCCCACCGAAAAGAGGCTCGGGCCCGAATCGAACGGGCTGCTTCTGCATAAACTTTCTTCCTCTGGGTAATGGAATGCAGATGTGGGCCACCCACCACCGAGCCTTTCCTTACTTCTCTCTCGTCTTACTAACACCAGTATTCTCGTGAGCCTCCCGCCGCCCAAAAAAACGGAACTTTAGTATAGCTCGGGCCCGAATCGAAGGGGCCGCTTCTGCATGAACGTTCCCCAGAATGCATAGAACGCAGACGTGGGCGGCCCGCCCCGAGCCCTCTGTACCCTGTGCCCACTCGTACTGACATTACCATCTTTGCGAGCCTCCTGCAGCCTAGTAAAACAATTGCAACGCCATGGAATGCAGGCGTGGACCCCGTGCCAACCTTCCTTACCCTGTATCTGCTCTAACTATCATCACCATTTTTTGAACCTCCCGAAGCCCAGTAGGAAAAGAAAACTTCCTCTTGAATGGCTCGGGCCCGAATCGAACGGGCTCCTTCTGCATCAACAGTCATTGATCGAAACCCATGGAACGCAGATGTGGACCATCCACCACCAAGCCGTTCCAACCTTTGAAATGCTTTGGATTATGCTTCTCAGAATTTCTCTCCAAAATATAAACACAAGATTAGGATGATCTCCTGCTGCATTTGATTACTTGTCCAAATTTTAATGTAATGCAATACCTCCCGCCATCGAGCCGCGTTTCCTTACACTCTCTCTCCTGACTCACGTGATCGTTTTTTTGAACCTCTCGAAACCAAGCCCGGTAGGGAAAAAAAAGAATTTCTTGTGCTTTCTTGTATGGCTCGGGCCCGAATCGAACGAGCTCCTTCTGCATCGACCGCGCTTCATCATGATAACAGAACGCAGACGTGGGCCACCCACCACCGAGCCGTACCTACCCTCTCCGCGCTCACTAACATCAGGATTTTCACGAGCCTGCGGAAGCCTAGTGCCGAAAATCCGAGTCGTGGATGGGTGCCGGTGGTATTAAAGTATCCAGACGTCTCACGGAAAAGCAGTCCAGGTCTAACGGTCAGTCATTCTCATGGATAGGAGGATAATCGGCCAAGTCAGGAAAGAACGGAAAGAGTGAAATCAAGGGGAAATCAATCCTCACAAACGAGGGAAAAAGAATGACCCAGACCCGAATCGAACGGGTGTCTCCCGCGGAAAGTGCAGTAAACGATGAAATCTGCGCGGACGCGAAACCACTTCGCCACTGGGTCTACAGTGCTTGGTGTCCCAGGTTGAATACATAGCAATCAACTCTTGCGGATGTAGGAAGACCTGGAACCAACCTGGAACAGTGGCTCAAGCCTCTGAGTCCATGTTTTTGCGCGAGGGGCTTGACTCTTGAGAGAAACAGCCGAGAACCAGGCACTATTGGAGGGTCATGTCGACCTCGTAAAAGTCGGGCTAGAGCAGTCGCTGGTCGGCGGTGAAGCGGCAAGATATATATATTGCGCCAAGGAAAGCGGTGCACCGTCTTTACCTTTGTTTACCCATCCCGCGAAACGAGCGCCCACCAAGCGCCCTCTGAAACAGCTTGCGGGCACGGACGACACTAGCAAAGCAACCGGCGCAGGGCACGAGAAGTCAGCACCCTCCAGCATGGCGTTGGCGTGTGCCTCTTCTCGGGAACCTGCAGGGTGCATCTGCGTCTTGATCTGCGTCGGACGAGGGCGAGGCTCGGATGTCAGATATGCAAGTGCGCGTCGCAGCCTGGCTCAGCGCTCAGCACATCGCCGACGGTGCGCGGCGCGGATCGGGGTGCGTTTACTACGAGCTACGTGCGTCTCCTACTTCGTGCCCTCGCTGCCTCCTGGCGTCTTTCAGCTTTTCACGTCCGGCTCCGAATATTACAGCGTCTTCGCACCCACTCGTCGCTTGCCCGTACACCCTCCCCTTCGGCCCCGTACCCCCTCCCCTCCGCTGCGCGAGCACGGCGTCGTCGTGCTCGTGCGGCGCATCCGACGGCGAGGTGCGCCTGTCCCCTCTCATAAAGGCCGGCAAAGCACGGAAAGGACGATGCGCAACCAGTCCGGTGCGGGACAGCGTGGCACATCGCCGCACGGCACGACGCCTTTCATCTCGGGCTTTCCGGTTGTCCGTTCATCCTCGCGCGCACACTCCCTGCGCCTCGCTCGCGTACACGTACACCCCGCCCCACTCTCCTCCCGTCCCATCCTTCCTTCCACCTCGCATCCTGCATTCGTTCGAGCGAGCCCGTCACACGTCGCATTCGCATTCGTACCCGTCCTATCGTTTCCTCTGTGCTCTGTCCACTCGCGCCCGTGTTCTATTCTGTTGGCCGGAGTCGCAGTCAGTAGAGGCGTGGCGCGCGCTTCGCTTCTTCCACTTCCCGCTCTATCGTCATCTTTCGTCTCTCATTGGGCTCCGTTGAGCTTCGGGTGGGTCGTCCTTCCTTCCCTACCGCTTTTACCATCTTCCCACCTCCTTCATCGTCCTCGTCCCCGCCTCCTCTTCCTCATCCCTCGCTTCTAAGATGAGCCCCCAATTGTGGTTTTCCTGGCTGCGCTCAAGCAGGTTATTCTTGCATTACTGTGATAGAATGCGAGCTCATTTGCATCGGTCAGTACAGTGGAGGCTCACTTACATCGATACAGTGGAAGTTCTGTTTAAAATCAGCATTTAGTTCTTCACTGCCTGTCCAAGTTTGACGCAACATCTTTGCGTTCTGATTTTCTCCTGGCCCTCGTCTCGCGCTATACGTATTCCTGGAGAAAATGCGAGAGATTGTCTGTCCCCCGCCGATACGACCCGCAACGTTCGGAGTTTCTCCCGAGCTTCTTCTGCATTCAAGACCACTGGACATACTCAAATTCGCTTGACATCAAACAGACCTGGGCTCTTCGTTACGATGTTCCTCTCTGAGCCTAGCGTCTTGCGCTGTGATACCAATTTGTGAGAAAAATTGGGCAACTTACAAAACAGGGGGGAAAAAAGTGTAAAATTTATGACCCAGGCCCGAATCGAACGAGCGTCTTCCGCGGAACCTAAAAAATCATGTAAAGTAGGCGGATGCAAAACCACTTTGCCACTGAGTCCATGCCCTATGCTAGCTTGAATACACCTACTATAGCATCGAAAAAGCGAGAGGCGAAAAAAAAACCCAGCACTGATGGCCCAGGACCCAGACCCGAATCGAACGGGTGTCTTCCACAGAAAGCCCAATATTTCAATTGAAAATTGAGTGGATACGAAACCACTTCACCACTGGGTCCATACACCCAATTACTCAAGCTCGATTAGAGACCGGTGAGCCCAACACGCACAACCAAAAATCAAACGAACTAAACGGGAAAAAAATGTACGGAGCTATCAGGACCCAGACCCAGATCGAACGGACAGCAACGTACAGCACGATGTAAGGTTGGCGGATGTGAAGCCACTTCACTGGATCCGTGCCCTACGTTGGGATGCAAGCTTAAATAGCAACCGTTCAGTGTGGACACACCGTGCAGAGGAGCATCACGGTGCTTTGATAACAACCCAAGAGAGCAGATTTCGCTTTGCCGCACCGGGGAGAGGGTATACATATATCCGATCTCAAAGCGGAAGAAAGGGAATGTGTGGGCCCTCCCGAAGTAGGGGGGGGGGGGGAAAGGGGAAAAAAGGTCCTGAAAAAATGGATGACCCAGACCCGAATCGAACGGCTGTCTTCCGCAGAACTGCCTTTCCAGTCTTCCAAAATGGACGGACGCGAAACCACTTCGCCGCTGGATCCATGCACCCAAACAGCCTAGCTCGAATAGTATCCATGGCGTGGCATCCAAAAGTCCAACATCACAGGTCGGTGTGCACAAGGCGGTAATCGCCTCGGCTGGACGTCCAAAAAATGCATCAGTGTGAATTGAATGTGAAGCATCAATGTTACCGTGAAGGCCGAAGATCCCAAAAACAAACCCAAAAAAAAGACAGCCTGCTACTGAAGGCGTGGGCCCGACAGAAGGGTAAGAAAAAAAGTGAGGCAGAAGAAAAAATGACACACTTGTCATGACCCAGACCCGAATCGAACGGATGTCTTCCGCGAAAGCCTTCGCAATCACCGCTGAACGTAAGCGGATGCGAAACCACTTCGCCACTGGGTCCATGCCCTATGCAAGCTTGAATACACCTACTGTAGCATCAAAAAAGCGAGAGGCGACCAAAAAATCTAGCACGATGTTGGGACCCAGACCCGAATCGAACGGGTGCCTTCCGCGGAAATTCGCTGAAACCGCCTATGGTATTATCTGAGACCCTGGACTAGTTAGTGGGCCACTTGCCTAATGCAAGGTGCTGTGATGAAGAATCCCCGAATTTGGTGCTTATAGGATGGAATATGACCTATCGCTACACTGTATGTCAAATTTTGAGGCCGAGTGATGCGGCGATCAAAAGTGACGGCGGTTCTCAACCGAGATTTCGGCGTGTGAACATCATTTCTTATCTCCGAACGGCCCTCGCGCGCGTCTTTGGCTTGTTTCTTCACCACCTCTTCACCGATTCACAAGTTTTGGGGCTCATTCGCATCCCTTTATTCGGAGGCATGACATAAGCCCTTCCTATACGCCAAAAATATTCTGTCTCGCCTCCTGGAATCCCCACGACGACCCTGATCTGATCTTGACTGGCCCACTCCCGCCACCGCTGTAGCGAATGACCCGTCTGTCCCGAGGCTCCGAAACCTGGCTGGTCAATTCGAAATATCCAATACTGTATCTTACCTGACTCCTAGGCTTTTAGGTATACGGCCTCCCGGTAACGGTCCACTACTACCTCAAACACCCGAAATTAAGTTGCCCGTACAGATGGATTTTTTGCGAGGGCTCATTGGCATGTGAGGGACATCCCCCGTATATAGGTATGTCCAAATACATCCAATGGAGTCATCTAGATCTTAATTTGGGGTGTCCATACCCTCTGTCCTTTGCAAGACACGTCTATCAGCCGACATCACAATTTCGCCTGTCCCCCCTTGCTGAAAAGGGAAGTAGTCATGGTCCTCGCATACCTTAGATGTATCATTTTAGTGGATAGAAAGATGTAACTATATGTCTTTAGTGATTTGGGATACATTAGGATGCCCAGGACGAGGCTGAATGAACGATTTAAAGGGGTGGCCCACTAACCCGTTTTTGCCATTTTCGGATACTGCCGGAAGAAAAAATTTGGTATGCAATTAGGTCATGGTGTAAATTCTCGGAAAATATCTGGACTGACTCGTAGGATGTATGCCTTGGTTCCAGAGCCCATAGGCCGGGAGCTACCTCATGTTATGCGTGGGCTCGCGGCCAAAAGTGCTAAGGTGGCCCAGTAAGCAGTCTCAGATAATAAGCGGACGCGATACCACTTCGCCACTGGGTCTATACTCCCAGTGACTCGAGCTCGATTAGAGACCTGTGAGCCAACTGCGCACACAAATTAAACAGGAAAAAGGGACGAGAAAAAGGCGATGACCCAGACCGAATCGAGCGGGTGTCTTCTACATTTTTCAAGGGAAACGATTAGCAGATGCGAAGCCATTTCGCCACTGAGTTCACGGTCTTACATAGGAATATCATGATGACAGAGAGCTACCAGTCCATGAGCCCCAAAATCAACGAACTCAGCTCTAAAAAAACTGTCTCAAAGACCAGAAATGCCCCAGACCCGAATCGAACGCGTGTCTTCCGCGGAATCTACTCTACTTACTCAAGGTGATCGGGTACGATGCCACTTCGCCACTGGGTCCATGCCCACATGGGAATGGCTTGAGTGGAGAGCTGTGAGCCCACACCGACCGATTTTTCTTTTCTTGTTAAAAAAAGTGGAATCCATTCAAACTCATGACCCAGACCCGAATCGAACGGGTCCGTAGAAATCTCCGCATTCGCCAAGTAGTGCGGATGCGAAGCCATTTCGCCGCTGGACCATACATACACCCGAGGATAGCAATCGACTCGGAAAAGGTTGCGCGAGATAATAGATATTGCGGGTAAGGGTCGTTCCTCCTTCCTTGTGCACTGACTGGGAACGAATGAGCCTGTGAATGCATGTTCAGCTTTTGGGCTTGGAGTCGGAGGATTCAATATTGCCGGGGTCCAGAATCCGCTACGAGGAAGGCGTACCAATTCTAGATCCGAGGCTAGGTCGGCCTTCATCCTCGCTCCATGTACTTGACGGCGCGGAGTCCCCGAAAAAAACCTCAATTTCTAAACGACTCATACCTGGACGCACCGTCGCACTTTGTGGCGGACCGGGTGCAAGCATTCCATCGCCCATATTTGCGGTATCATGTGGCGACTTGCGTTCGTCACGAAAGAGTTGGAGAGAATTTCGCGAGCAGCCCGACGTGAAAATCCGGTAAACAAGTTATCTCGCCGCTCAAGTGGCGCACAACCTTCTCTCTACTCGCGGTACGCTGACGGTGGCAAATCGGAGGAAAGAACGGTAATGTTGGTCTGGAAATCAAAAAAAATTAAGTCCCTGCTCATTCGGAATTCCAACATCGACGTGCCTGAGATTTGATTCAGCGACTGCTGATACAGAATTGAATATAAATGTAATTGAAGCGACAAAAAGACGCACTGCAGCAAAGGAAGGTCTGGGATGACAACTTGCGCGAAGCCTTGGCGTTGAGTAGCGTATCTGTGTCACTTAAAATCGGCATATGGACAGTCTTAGTTTCTTCACGTTTAAAGACGTGACTTGACGACGGAAATCAGTCCAGGGGTGTCGGAATGATAGAAAAAGGTACGAGCTAAATGAAGCGAAGCGTTACCACGAAATGGAATGAAATATAAGGGAAAAAGAAAAAAAACCAAGGCCAAAGCCAAGCCCAACTCATGGCCTGGCCTGAGATTTCCCCAAGCCAAAGCCAGAATTCACGGTCTAACCTCCCCAAACGCCATGGCTTTCAGGCTTTCAGGCCGAAGCCAGACATTTGGCTGGCTTGGCTTTTGGCCTGGCCACGGATTCTACGAGGCGAAAGCCAGAACATTACTAGGGAAACCTGCAAAATGAATCGAGGTTTTTGGCATAAAACACCTCAAGCAAAGACCAGAACATTGCTGGTGTTTTTCACGACCCCGCAGTAATGCAGGAAGAATTTCTTAGGTGTCGCGGGCGCGGTCGGAGCGGCATCGCCAATTATTGGGAACTTGGAGGGTGTGCAAACAGTTTTGTGACCTTCCTCCACTCCAACTTTCCTTCGTTTCGCTCCCGCGGTCGGCACAGCTCTTGCTTGACTGTCTGCAAGGACAGTAGGTTCCTATTGATCTCTTGCCCACCTTGGTCCTCGAATGCCAGAACCGTGGACGTACCTAATGCACCAAGAGAGCTACGTTCAACTCGAAGTGAATCCGGATTCCCAGCGAAAAAGGAATGCACGAGCTACACAGGAGCGGGACAGATGCAAGCCGGAAAGTGCTGTATGCGTGGTTTCCGTGATATCCAGCTGGCCTATTATTATAGCAAGCGCGTTAGCTTAAGCGCCGGGAAATAGACGCCTTCTCACGTTAACACTGACAGCTTCTTGGCTGTGTCTGATTTCATATCGATTGCCTGCCATCTCCCAGCCTCGAGGACGTCTACAGCTTCTTGCTGTGTCTGATCCATATAGATTGCCTTTCGCCTCTCGCCCTCGACTCGGCCCTCCCCCAGCTTTTCTCTCTCTCGAATGCCTCTCATAAACAACAGTACTGGCTTCCAGATTCACGGTGGAAATTTTTATGAAGTTTCCGGCGACGTGAACCTGGAGACCCACCAGCACCTTTTGATTCAAGACCACACCCGCCACGACGCAGGTCCTCGACTGCCCGTCAGCTCCACATTGACACTGGACGAAGGCTCGGATGTAGGATCCTGCCGCGAGTTGTTGAGTGTTGCGATGAGTGTTAGTAGGAGGAACCCGTGCCATGAGATTGCAGCGAATCCTGCCCCTTATTGTGCGCCTCAATAAAAACCATCCTCTCCTGTTTCTTATATTAAAAAGTTCTGTCTTCCGGCCCGAGTCTTACTGCAAGGGGCTCCTCCAGTATTGAGGAACATGCACACTCGGCGTCGCGCTCAAGCGCCTCCTTGTCGAGGCAGCCTAGGCTTGGGTCCCGCCCTGTTCGTGAATGTGTATCGGATTTTCGTCGGCCTGCGACCTCGCCTCCTATCGATCCGGCTTCATCTAATTCAAAATCCTCACATCCTCGAGACTATCGACCTTCTAATCTCGTAGACCTCGCCAGTTTCCCGACTCGTCCCTGTCAGAACTACCGCACTCTTCCATCACAGGATACGGTCCAGGCGGCGCCCGATTTCCAACCCGGACCCCGAGGTCCTCGTTATCGAGGGGATCCCATGAACAATGAGTCATGCTCTGCCGATCGTCTGGCCCACTTCCCAGCCAAGTCACCACAACCTATCCATGGCGGAACATTCATCACCGCCGAGAATATCAACCATCACCACGGTGAGACCGGAATACAGATTCTCCATCGTGCAGTCGCCTTGGAGGCACTCTACGACTCCGCAGAGAGTTTCCCTCAACCCAGATGCCATCCAGAAACACGCACCAGTCTGCTGGATACTCTATATCGCTGGGCGGCTGAAGAGACCACCGCCTACCCGATCTATTGGTTGAGTGGTCCAGCCGGGGCTGGGAAGTCGGCTATCATGCAGACTTTATGCCAGCGACTGCAGGATGCCCGTCGTCTGGGGGGAAGCTTCTTCTTTAAACGAGACCACAGTACTCGCGGTAGCGCAAAAGTGCTGTTTGCGACATTTGCCTACCAGCTTGCACTCCATCATCCGGAATTGAAAGGCCCGATTTGCAAGAGCACAGAAGATGATCCATCTGTTGTTGGAAGAGGGATGAATACACAACTGCACAAGCTCATTATTGAGCCATGCGCCACGCGCCCAAATTCACCAACGATTATTCTGCTTATCGACGGCCTCGACGAGTGCAAGGGGCATGATGTTCAGCAGGAAATATTACGCCTATTAGGCAGTGCTGTCAGCAAATGCCCTATGCTCAGAATTCTTATCGCTAACCGGCCGGAACCGCAAATCTCTCAGGTCTTCAAAGAGCCCAGCATGACTGGACTTTATCATCTCCTCGACATCAGACCATCGTTCATGGATGTTCGAAATTATCTGCTCAGCGAGTTTGATCGAATCCATCGTGAACATGAAGAAACCATGGCCTCAGTTCCAAAACCGTGGCCCACGTACTATATTGTGGAAGACTTGGTCAACAAGTCCTCAGGTTACTCTGCGACTATAATCAAATTCATTGATGACAGAGACTTTCGCCCCACACAGCGCTTGGCGGCTGTCGTCAAGAATCTGCCGACCGAATGCAATACTCCATTCCATGCTCTGGACAAGTTGTACTCCCAGATTCTGCATGATACCCCTTTCCAGTCTTGCCTCCTCGACATTCTTTGTGTTATTGTCCACGGATCCATGCTGAAACTATCCAGCGAGAACATCGAGAAGCTCTTTGGCCTAGATCCGGGTGATGTTAAACTCACCCTTCGGTGCCTTCAGTCTCTTTTACTGGTGCCTCAGGATGACACTCACATGATCTCTCTTCATCACAAATCGTTCTGCGATTTTCTTATTGACCGAAATCGGTCAGGCAAATTCCACATCGGTCTGAAGCAGCGCAAGGATCTGGCCTGTTTCATTCTCCAAGCCCTTTCCCAATCACCGGCCAATAGGGCTCCCCCAAGTTCGACACTTGTTGCTTGGTATGTTTAGCCATCAGGGATCACTTCCGAGGCACGGTTGAATGAAGCTCTTCTCTAGGACCATTGGTTCCCTTGGGCTGAAATACATCACTTCAGTGATCTCGCCTTCTGTAGACCTTCTCCCTCTCATCCAAACTATCAACTTCGACTTTATATGGTGTTGGAGAAGTCCTCACGATCTGTACACCCCCGCGAGGGAGATGATCTGCTGGCTGGAAGTGAGTCCTGAAGCGAGCATCCATACTACTAATTCATTTGAACGAAGAAAGGTTCGCCCCCACCCGAGGACTTGATAAAACTCTGGGAAAACTGTTGTATCCTCAGTGACAGTGCTTCAATATTTAATCGTCCAATTACTGTGCAGTTGTCAGACGCAGCTTGTCACACCATCCTCTCACAATCCCCTGGACTGCTACGCATTCTTCGGGCCTTGTGGGTGTGGGGGTTCACCTCCTGCGAGGCGCCACATTTACGAATCGAAGATCTGTTGTACATTCGGTTTCTGCTACACATCCCTTGGGATGAGCTGTGGGCCTTCTTACCTGCCTTGCACTCCCTCATGGGCAGCATTGACAGGCTATCTATCCTGTTGAAATTTACCCTCCAAAGCACAACAATTTGCCCAGAAGTTTACCCATGGCCATCAACATGCAGAGACCTAGCTCTGGGATGTACTCGCCTAAGGCTCAACCAGGATGGCCTCTCTAGTTACACAAAGTGAGTGAACATATGAATAATAACCCTAACAAAATACGGCTACAAATGCCTAACATATTGTAGGACTCTAACACCATCATGGGCCCGCTTCGTCCGATTATCACCGCCCTGCAATGACCTACTCGCCGACATTCGCAATTTGTGGCCTTCACCCAAAATGGGCTGCTTCGATATCCATAATGTTCTGGAATGGCTGAAACTGGGTTTACAAAAATTCATATCATGATATGTGCTTAAATCCATCAGACATTCCCTCAGCCACCACTTGATGTAATCGAGCATTGGGAA